AGGAAGCAGATTCTCTTTACTCACTAAAAAAAAACCCAAACAATAAAATTATACTTTTCAGATTGTTTAAATGTTAAGACTGGCTATTGCTGCTTTTTGTTTTATCACATTTTGTTCTAAGTTCTTCTAGTTTTGTTTTTGATTTTATGTAGATGTGTTTGCAGAGAAGCATTATCTGGTGTTGTGGATTTGGTGGTTTCCTCAAGGCACTAAAGAATTTACATTCCCAGATGCATAAATAAACTTGTCGGATTAAAAACATAAAGTAATCCATCAACAACCTTTTTCTGCCTTTACAACTAAAACATTGAACTCAAAAGCCAGTTTATTTTTTTTGACAAGTCAATTAAAACAAATGACAAAAAAAAGCATCATAAAATGAATGGAGGTCCTGCAAGCCTTTTCCATGTCATCAGACAAAAGAACAAAGAAAAACAACCCCATTTGCTTTTATAGTGCAGCTGCATTCCTAGCCACAGGGTCTACAATAAAGGATAAATAATAAAAAGAACCCAACATATTTTATTTCTTTTTGTCTTTATACACCCATATCCTTTTGTCGTGCATCGTTAAATGTTCTCTGGAAGGTATCTAAAGTATCCTAGGTCAACAATTGGGCAAGCCTTCTTATTTTATGCAATAAAGCTACTTATTCCCTGCAAAACTGACTAGCATTTCTTTAGCAGTGGCTCTACAAGGCTTTATATAAAGTTGAAACCAGTAGTTTACATACACTGTATAAAATTCATTTTTCCCCTCTCTTTCACTGCCTGACATTAAACTAGAATAAAATCGTCCTGTTTTAGGTAAACTGATAATTTCCCAGACAATGTGTCAGAATATTGGGAGGAGTTGTTAGAGAATGTTTTGTTGTCTTCAAACTGAGCCACATCAGTCAAGTCGGCCCATGTCAGTATAAGAGTTTTTTCTCCTTCTCTTACCAGCCTTAGCTACCATCTTCACAAGGTCTTTTGCTTTTAATCTGGGATTGATATACACATTTTGTACCAAAACATATGGGACAGTGATGGAAATGATTCAGAGGCAAAAGAACATTTTTCTGACCAACATGCTTTTTTGTTAGTTTATTATTATTATTATTATTATTAAAACCAACAAAACCTTGGCTGGTTTCCAGTATCAAGTAACTAAGATTTAGTTTCAAAACCACCATGACTTCATTTAAATCATTCCTGCTATTTAAAGTTCTTTTAATAAGGTGCAACAGAAAGCACTAGATCAAGGTTGTAGCGTCTAATTTTGCTGTTGATGCACACTGCTGATCAGCTGGCTGAGAGAATTGATCTGTTTTTGTCTGTCTATTTACCAAAGACTTTCGCTTGACTAGAGTCTTTTTCAAACATTGTGTCAAAACTCAGATCTCGACCCATCACTATTATTAAGCCAATGTTTTCAAGCTAAAGCTGGGAAAATATGAGCAGCAGGTCTGTTAAAAAAGCTGACTGCAGGCACAACCTGAGTAGACAGCCTGACTAAACTGTTAATGTCAGCCCTTGGTATTTGTGTTACTGTTTAAACAGCAGAATGTGAAGAAAAGTTTAATAATCTGTACAATGAGAGCTTGAAAACTTCAACTAAGGATGTTTATTCTTGATCTTTGGTTAGATCTATAACAAAACCCCTTGCAATTTGATGAACAGCAGCAAATAAGTGCTGTATATGAAATTTTTCATAAATAACATAATCAACGGATTAACTTCAAGTACCATGAAGATTACACATTGCTTTCCTTTTTTCAGTATTTCCCCTTTAATCTTTTGTGCAGATATTGTAAATCGCTTAGTGGTCCATGAGTAACTTCAATGTGAGGTCATATGTTTACAGCTTTAGTTCACTCACACTTCATTCCTACATTTTCCGAGCCATCTGGTGAGTCGTCATTGAAAGGTGTTTATTTAAAAAAAAAGGGCTAATACATACAGCAGGAAGGAGTCAACAAAATTCATTCAAACATGCCAAAGTTTTTCTAAGCAGACAGTTCGGTGGCCAGTATCTGGTTACCCATGTATCATGTATGTTTCCAATGTAATTTGCAGTTTTGTGCATTACCATTCAAAAATGTGACCCTACTCAGAATATTAATACTTATCAGTTCATTCAAATTAACCTGTTTCGTAATGTACTTTAAATATATACGCACCGAAAATGAACTCAACTTATACTTAAAAAGCGTCTTTGTCAAAAATAATACAGTAACTATCATGTGCTGTTGACTGAATAAAAGTACTGTAATCATTAAACGAAAACATAGTGCAGTTAGTTAAAGTGTTAGGTTGTTAACACATTTTCAACTACAAGAAGCCTGAGAGAGAACTTTTAATGCTAACCTCGGTTGTAACAGGCAATAAAAGCAAGTTAACTTTCTTTGTTTACATCCTTGAAGCATTTTTCATACCACACTGAGCTGCCCAGACAGTTTTAGCACCCTCATCCATTTCTGCAAGTGTAACAAGGAATCAAATCTGCTTTAATAAATTGATGGCATTATTATTTTCTAAATGTGTAAAAAGTTTTAATCATTTAACACTCTACTGGTCTCCCACAATGCGCTTTCAGGCCGGATACGTCTTGGTGGTCTTGATCTTCCGACACCGTTCCAACTATTCAAACTTATGTCTGGCCTCTGTTCATGCCTGCTCTGGACAGATGTGTATTTATGTCAGACTTGAGAGTTTTCTGTAAAGCACACAAAAACCCCCCAAACTGTGCGAGCTCCACTTTTCCAGCTTGCTCATCTATTTGTGGCCTTTACATTACCCCAAAAATGACAGACAAAACCCAGGGCTGCTTGGTTGATAAAACTCATGAAATATTTGGTGGTCAGGTTTAAAAGGAACAAAGCAAGAATTTGGCTGGACCCTAAAGGAGACAGTAAAACAGTGAAGAAGAACAGATGGCTGACATGAAAAAAGTGAAAACTTTACTTTTGAAAAAGAGTATTAAAAAAAAGAATCCAAACAACCCCTCACACAGATGCTACTTTACTTTGTCACTACTGTAAAAGAATTTGCTTAGAAACATCACACAATTAAACTGCCTACAAACAAAATCCAGAGATGCAACACCTATTCCAGCAGGACCTGATGAGACAACATCCAGAAGCCTGTGTTTGAAACAAAGCTGACAAGCTGCATGAATGGAACATAAGTGGCAAACAAAACCAAAACAGAGAAGTTTGCACAGACAGATGTGTGCCTGGCGTCTCGTCAAGAAGATACCCGTTTATCTCCGACTGGCATCAACGGAGATATGTGCCCACACCTGTCTGTGGCATCGCGCTCAAAACTCTGAAATCTGAGCGCTACCACTGATGCTGGAAGATGCAGGAAGTGTCAGAGGAGAAGACAGCGATAAAAAAAAAGAAGGAGAAACTATGATAAACTGTACGATTATCCACACAGGGATCATGAAAACAACCAGCACAGGAACAGTTTAAGTTATTGTGTCATTTTTTCATTCCCTTCCTTAACCCTTTCATGCATAAATTATGATCCTTTGTGTCAGGATTTTTTTTTTCCAATTTTTTTAAGGCATAAAAAAAAAGGTAGGAAAAAAATTTTTTGTAAAAAAAAAAAAAAAAAAAAAAAAAAAGATTTTTTTTTTTATTAAATTTTTTTTAGGTGATCAATTGTAATTTTCTCCAAATACAAAGTTGTTACTTGAAAAATACACCAGTAATATTGTTCTTTAGGGGTTATCTGATGTCACAATATTTTTTTGTACCTGCAAGAGTCATCTACAGTAGAAGGAGGGACCGGGTTGGTTGGCGTGCTTTTTTGCCGGTCGGCCATGTTGGATTTAACAAAAATAATTTCTTGCATTTGCAGCTGATGGCCAGTAGTTGATGGTGTATTTTATGATGCATTAGTGTCCACTTCAGTGGTTTGTGTGCATTTATAACATAAAAATCCACAAGAAGCACAAGAAAATGGCTTTTAGACAGCTGTCCACTGTAGTGACCACTATGCATGAAAGGGTTAAGGAAGGGAGGAAGGAAGAAAAAGAAGGCTGTGTGACTGTGATTAATAATATGATTATCAGAACCTAGGAAACAAGCCACCAATCCATATTCTACAACCATTTGGTTGCTGGCTGAGACAACAAACCAAAGGAAATAATTTCTGATATTTTTAAACTGTGACTTCAAAACTTAATTGCTCTTTACACTTTCAGAAAAAAAGGTGAAAACATTTACCTTGCACACCTAGAGCAGATGTTGAGGGTAACTTTGGCCTGTGGTTCAGACTGATAGGAGCTGCGTCCCTGACTGAACTTGTTGCCGGACGGGGCCAGCCCCGTTACGCCCTCCATCCGCAGGTCATCCAGGTCCTCTGGGGAGACGGAGCAGAACATAGTAACGGCGGGGCAGGAGAGGGGAAAAACAGAAAGGACAACCATTAATCATATTTTGGTCTATTCCTTGTCAACGTAATGCCCCGTGATGACAGCCTGCTGGAAGTCAAAGGAGCAAGAGAGACCATCACAGTAGGTAATCATTATCAGCACAGTCATTCCGATGAGTTTCCACAAGAACATGCAGATTTTGAACTTTTGGATCGCTCGCATCGCTGCAAAATTATTTCCAGTAAGAATTATGTCATGTAGCCACAATGAGGGTGACGAAAGCAAATACATTTATTCTGTAAGAAAAAAAAATGTACAAGTATATGGAGAAGTGGTCAGCATTGTAGAGGTTTTTTTTTTTTTTGCTATATTCACTGGATAAGCCTTTTCTTTTTCTTTTTTTTAGCTGAGAAGCTGTCAACGTGGAGCAACTGAAACCTAATGTTTGAACAAAGTTAAAGCCTAAACAGGCTCAGCTGTCAAATCAGAATGATGCATTTTAACATCAAGGCATCATGCTGCACACATTTCCATACTTCTGTCAGAGTCGCATAGTGCTATTGTAATAGAGAAACTATGCTTAACTCACTCTAAGAGCAAGATTTATGACAGGACATTAAAGTAGTGATGCCGAATAAAATGAAATCAATGTTTTTGTGTCTCAGTGGGGACTTGCTACAGTTAGTTTATAATGATCAAAGAGGCAAGCTCTAAATCAACCAGACAGATTTAGTTTTGAATGTATCCCTCAGAGAAAAAACACGTTGTACTTTCCAGGCCATAGTTCTTATAGATAGAATGAACACTCAGAGTAGGAATGGGTCAGTATCAAGTAAATATGCTACTATATCAGGTTACTTAAACAGTGTTTAAACACAAAAACATGTAAATATGATCCAACTAATCTTATTTCAGAAAAATAGTAACAGTCACTATAAATGGCAACTCAGTACCAAAAAATGTTATCTTCATCTGTACTAGTGGATGTGACAAGACAGATAAATGTGCTGGTTTATATAATCAAGTTCCATTTCTTCTTATTGTGCTACTAGTCTTTAAAAGATGAATGGACTGATATGATGGCATTGTTCAGTTTGAGATGCAACAGTTCATGTTCCTACAAAAAGAAAAAAAAAACTCAGCTGATGCATCAAGGAATCGACGAATGAAGCTTTTACATTTTTTTGTTTTTATACAACATTTATCTTTTAGTAGAAGATGCAAAAAGTAGCTCTAAGTGTTTTTTTTTTTTTTTCTTATTTTGGGATCCTGAAAATAATTTCCCCAAGCAGTCAAAGTCGCCTTTGCAGTAAACCTGAAGGAAAGTGCAGGAATCTGCTTTCAGCCATCTGACTAGCAGTCCTGCAACAGTGATGAGTTCCTCTGGGCTCTATAAAGCCAGATTAAATCCTGGTCATTCCAGTAATTTAATCTCATTTGAAGGACTTGAAATCTTAAGATTTGTACGGTGAAAGGTTTTTGCAGTTTTGAAACTGAACTTTTTTTTTTTTTTTTTTTTCCCCCCCCGGTTTGTTATACCTCCAAACTGGAAACCATCCCATGCCTAATTTAATCTGTGTTTCTTGACTATACAGAGATACAGAGATGTCACCATTTATTAGTTAAAGGTGGGGTTCATGTTGAGGTCATGCATCAAATGTAGTGTAAAGGCTGCTTGAGCTTGTGGTCAGATATCTGAAACCAGAAGTAAAACATTTTTTCTTTGGGATCATATTACAGTGTTCCCTGCTAGAAAGAAAAAAAAATCATAGGTTTGACACCTTGCAAGATGAGAATGCATGACTAATCACAAGGATTGGATCTGATGACACTTCCTCATGAGAACTCTCTCCCTCTATTCATCAATCATAGTGGTACAAAACCCCCAGAGATCTTATCTGTCTGGCCAGAAATAATTCTGACTAAACATAAATGTATTCCTTAAATCTGTCCTCAATTGCTCTATGCAAAATATTTCAAAAGACATGTGCTAGTGACAGCAAAAACTAAATATAATAAAGATATTTTTCATGTTCATCTCAGAAAAAATAGGACTGTAGATTATTCAGTCTTTCAGGTTGCGGATTGGTTACTTTTGTTTCACTTTACATTTTCTACCTTTCGTTATCCATGTAAATCCTACTGATCCAAATTTGGGATAAAATGTGGAAAAAAAAAATATATATATTAAAACTTGAAATCCCTCCAGGTCTCTTTTGTAAATGTTTAATTGTAGAATTCAATTTTGATGTAGCTCTGGAATTTTTTTTAATATAAAAATGTGCATCTTTATATGAACTGCCTTTAATGAGTTACAATCTATAAAGCAAAATTCCAGTAAGGTGCAATATTTGATTATCATTTCAAAGTTGAGCCTAATTTTAGGATGGTATAATATAAAATATAAATGAAAAGCAACGCCTTGAACTTTTTCCACATTTATTCCTTTAACAACCACAAACTTCAATGTATTTTTCTAGGAGTGTGTGTGAAAGATTAGCATGGAGTAGTTCTGAAGCGGGACTGTATATATAGTCCCAAGAATAAAAGTCATTTAAGCAAAACCTGCCTGTCAGCATGAAGTTGGCTTCAAGATTTCAAAAAGCAACAAATCTCGCTCTAATCCAAAGACATTCAAGAACAGATGGGAAGCAAAATCATTAGCATCCATGAGCCCAGAGCAGGTTATAAAAACATTTTTATGTCTTTGGGACACCGCAATCCAAGGTGAGAACCATTATCCACTAATCGAGAAAACATGGAGCTGTGGTAAACTCACTCAGAAGTAGTTAACATACCAGAATTGCATGTTCAGGTGTGTACCCTGAACATCAGTGTGTAACCTGAAACAATGTCTAAAGCACTGCATGCCTCACTCGCCTCTGCTAATGTCAGTCTTTGCGATTCAACAATAGGAAAGCTTCATATGGTGGTCGTAGCGCAATGTTCTCGGACCGCTGAACTCCTACAGGACTTGGATGACTTGCCATTAATTGATGGAACCATGGATTTTCTCCCTCACTCACAAACTGCTGACAACAAGAATGACACTGAAAGGCTAAAAACGCTTTTGGAGTGGGCGAGTCAAAGCCCAAACTTAAATCTGACTGAGAATCTGATTGTGGCATGACCTTAAACAAGTAATTCATCCTCAAAGCCTTCTAATGTGGCAAATAAATAAATAAATAAACAATCCTGCAAAAAAAAAAAAATAAAAATAAAAGAATGGAGGAAAACTTAACTTTCTTTTAATATGAGATGGAAACCGGTTTGTTTCCTCGCATTCGGATTTCAGACCTTAGACTGACTAGAATGTCTCTCTTATAGACGCTGCCAGAGAAGATGTATTGTTTTATAGTGCTGAGAAGAAAAGATAAACTGCATTCCATCAATACCCCTAAGCAGAGTGATATTAAATGTCCCATTTATCATGGAATGCTTTGGAGGTGGGGGTGGGGGGACAGAAAGAGCCACCAGCGATTTGGGCAATTTTCTGGTCGTGGGAATTGCACAGTTTGGTGCCTTCCCTCTTTTCCTGTTTTCTCCAGCTCCATTCCCACTTCTTTCCCCTTCTAGCCATTACCCTGATCTTTTGGCGACCCACTAATTCAACATACCAGATTTTCTTTGGGTCATTGGGTGTGATACAAATCATTATTTGGCATTCAGAAAAATACACTTGTGAAACTACCGCTTGTATGAGATACCAAAAGGATCATTTAAAGTGGCCCTGACCCTGATAAAAAACATGACCTCTGTGTCCACAGCTGCTTGTCACCTCAACTCCCTTTTGTCTTTTTTTTTTTTTTTTTTACTAGTTTACTTCTAGTTCAGAAAAATCAGTACACTGATGAAGAGAAAGGTCTCAATGTCTAAGGGGATAAAAAACTGAATGTCTGGCACTAGAAAAGGTCAACCAGATAAATACAAGCTTTGTCTCGAGCCTGCAGAAAAAGATGTTAGAGGGGCCTGAAAGTCAAGTAAAAGGCATGAATATTTCAAGTCCCAGCGTTTCATCTAAGTGTGATTGCTTCTTTAGTTTTCTCTCATCAATAAAGATTTGGAAAAGAAAAAATAAAAACAACTTTGCGAGACAAAGCTGTAAAAGTCCAGAAAAACAATTTAAGCGTCTATCTGCCAAACAATAACTGATCTACTTAGACTTATCCCATCCACTAGGATTGTTACGATACTAACATTTTAAAATTCAATATTGATGCTAAGAAAAATATTCAATATCATTCAATAGCTAAGGCAACTGTCTGATCATTAAAAAAAAAATAAATCAGAGTAATTTACATATGCCACTGCTACAATGTTTACAATGTCACAGTAATGTCACCAATATTGTTAATCTCATGGAACTCTGTTTATAGTTCCAACGTGAAAGATTCTTCACATTTAAAAAAAATAATATAATCTCTGCGTGTACATGAGGTGCTTGAGTCATGAATTGTGTGTATTTGCTGTATTACAGACGACCTATTTAAGATGTCCATGTGTATCGTTAAACCGTATTATATGTCTTTTGACAGTGTCCTTTGAATGACACCGGACATTTTTGTGGTCCCACACAAAAAAGAAAAAGATAAGACACAATGCAATCTTGTAATCACAGAACATGGATTTGTGTCTTGGGTCAAATTACAGTCAGAAGTAAAGCCATTCGAAATGGAAAAGTTTCACCGTTGTCTGGATTGCATACAACAGCGTTAATGGTAATCGCACTCCGTATAATCCACTTTTATACATTATGTAAACCAGGACTCGGCAGTCTTTTCATGTTCACATTCCCAGCATCACGCTCCCTTTAAAGTTTGTGTCAACATACAGCGTGTTTGGTATGCAGAAGTGCTCTTTTCCTCTGTATTTTTAGTCAAAACCGTGTGCATGCTCTCCAATGTTTACATTAGAGTTCAGCATACCTCCAACACAATGGGGCTATGATAAGTTTACAGTGCGTCTCCCATGAGACCAGTTTACCCTG